CCCCAAGCCTGATACCAACCCCGTGTTCAAAAATAAACCTGTATTTTTGTGTCAGGAAAAGTTCCCACATGCAAAAATATACAGTGCTTCCTACCTCAGGCTGATCCTGACCTGCAATATTTCAATACTTAATAAAATCTTCAGGAACAAAAACAACATTGGGTTGACTCATGCAAGCTACATGATGATTAATTTAAAAAAAAATAAAGAAAACAAGATTGCACTGTACAGCTCTTGTCAAGTGCACTGAGTCCACGACTGGGTTGGGAAAGAACACATATTTGAGGTCAATGCAAGGGACATGACTGATCTTAATTTTGAAACAGTCTAGTCATGATGGCTATTGAAAAACTAGAATTAGATCCTCCACAAAAAAAGTGCTGTCCTGGTCTCAGGTTTTTTAAAATAAAAATTCAGCTGCTCCCCAAAAATGTGCCATCACTCTTTTTCCTCATTTCACTCACATTTTTCAGACAGCATTGTCTGTATCTTTTTAGAGTGGAAATTTTAAGCGGAAATTGTTCATCCCATGCTTAGTCCATACACTTACTGTGATATTTAATAGAGATGTACAATTACTGCTTTTGATTCAGGAAAATATACTTTGATTCTATTTGACCTCACTTTATTTTAAGTTATAGAGATTGAAGGACATAGTTTTTCTGAAATTTAAGAAATTAGACTTTTGGAGTCAATGAGGACAGGATGAGTGAGGATGGATCGTGCTTAGAGAAATCAGTTAACAGATGATCTATCACTGCAAGGATTATGTAAAGAATTCATTGTTTGACAGTTTGACATCAAGATTTGTTTGACTTGAAGGAATTTTTGGAGATGATACACTCATGTCAACTTGCAAATTTATAGAACAGCCAACGTAGTCCTGAATTTATCTATGTCACTTCTATGACTAGCTTTGCTATGATGTCTCATGTTGAGCAGGATAAAGCACCAGTTGACAAGCACCAGTTTGTGAAGATACATTAACAGGAATTTCTCTAATAAGAAAAAACAATGCCAAAATCAATGCTGTAAAACCCTTAACACACTGCAAAGAATTCCAACTTATGCCGTCCAAGTTCAGATGAAGTGGCAAAATAAATTGGAATAGAGAAGTGGGTTAAGAGGACAAGTTTTTCTTATATACTTGATTGTCTGAGGAAATGAATTGGATAATGCCTAGTAAATCACTGTCCATAATGTTCCACAATTAATAAATATTGTGTGACTCATGGTGATCTCATTTACACTGGTGCTAATTAATGCCAGTTTAATTTCGCTGATGTTGGTGGAGTAACTCCTGGTGCAATGTGAGAAGGCCTTTATGGAGTTCATAACAAGGCAGGTGTAGCTGTTTTGCTGCTTGCTGCTCTTCTGCTACTCTTTGTACCGTATTGTTGAGCATGCTGGAAAGGAGTGAGAAAAAAACAAGTGTTGAATTTAATTTTACAGAATGTTAGCTAGAGCATTTAATATATGCTTGTGTTGGGGGAGTTGTGCATACATTGCAGGAAAACTTTTCTACAGCCCAATCTGATGTTACGTCTTTGTTACCACACCATGATTTTGCCCCTTGCTCAGCCTATGATCTGCTGGAGCCCAGAAATCAGTTTTTTCTTTTATGGCAGGAGATAAAAAGATGGGCTAGGTGGTCAGATATGTCACTAGCCATAGCTGGTTTGAGGTTTTGATGAAACAGATGTTCAGAATTTCTTTGGAAAATTTCCTTTACCTGACCCTTGCTGCAGTCTTGTCTTTGGAATGGGGATCTCTCTTTCCTACAGCCCAGGGACTTTATAAAGATAAAACACGAAGGACTGGAGAGCAATCAAATATTGTGGAGCTATATGCCACAATAATTTCACTGCTGGCTGGATTATGAATTTCATCCAGTATGACACTTCCTTTCCTTTTCTTTTCCTTTTATTATGATAAAACCTATGCATACTTACCACACCAATTTTTGACTGTGTGTGTTGGAACTAGGAACTAACTACCAAGGATGATAACACAGCTGTGGCTCACAGTGGGGAGGATGTAGGAAACACCAGCTCCACTAAGACTCTGGCATCCTTCAGAAAGAAGAATGAAAGAAGGTAAAAAAATGTTTGTATGTATATACGTGTCTGTATGTATTTAATAAAACCTGAAAGAAAGAAGAAAAATGATATGACCTTACTGTTTCTCTGATAGAAACAGTAGTGACATCCTTACCCATTATTCCATAGACCAGGCTTCCAAGACAGTCAGTCTCTGTCAGTCAGACAGTGCTGCTTCCAAGACAGCAGCAGCCTTTTCTTAGACAACAGATGTAGCAAAACTACCTACTGTAGAAAGGTTTAGAAATCTCCTTGAATAGCAAAAATGTAACTACGCTTTTCCTGTCTGGAAAAAGGTACAGTTATACGGGCAGCTTGCAGCTGCTAGGATTAGAAGAGGGCACAGCGACTGCCCACGGGGAGCACATGGTGAGGACAGGAGTCCACTTGTCCCTTCTTTTCTTACGTCACCTGAGACTCTGGGAATTAAAGGTAAAAAACCCTAAATAAATATAAAATCTTTGGAGATCAAAGTTAATTTTTTTAAGAGGGGAGCTGTCACCCAACTGAAAATGAAACTATGCATTTTCTCTGGTTTGTTTCAGCGAGTGTGCCTGGGGATCTCTAACTACTTCAGGTCCGTGGAGAGAAGCCTGACCATCAGCACCGCCGGCCTCTCCTGCAAGGGTGGTCTCCTAATTCCCAGGGCAGAAGACACCTCCTGGGTCAGTGCTGCCAAAGGAGGCACTGGTGGGTTTGGTGGCCTGAGTTCACAGCCGTCTGTTCACTACACACCAGCTGACTACAAGGTGAGGTACCCGCCAGCCTCTAGTCTCCCAAATAGTGCGCTTCAGTGGGAGTACCTCATGCAGCTCTCTCTTCTGTGCAAGCTGTGTTGTGATCCATTGCTGAACCTAGCAACCTGGTCTAATGGAGGGTGTCCCTGCCCATGGCAGGGGGGTTGGAACTAGATGGTCTTTAAGGTCCCTTCCAACCCAAACCGTTCTATGATTCTATGAACCATCTGAGTGAGTCACTGTAGCTTGTTCCTCAGACCCGCGCGTCTTGCCTTAACAGGCTAAATACCCCTCTCCACCAGCAGTCTGTAGCAAACCTCTGAGAAACTTCAGACACGTAGAAGCATAATGCCAACACTTCCTGCCAGATAAACATTTACTTAGACCAGTGTTGCTGGCCGTGCTTAAACTTGGACCTTTTTTAAGTGTGGGATTGTCATACAGAATCGATGTTCCTGAGAAATCTTAGGCATTTTGCAATTTATGGAAATGCTTGTTTAAGTAAATCCTAATGACTTCTGAAATGTATTATTTAGATTTGGGTGGAGTTTATGACATTGTTTTTAAATTTGGATGAGGGCGTGTGGCTGAAGTGATATAATTAGTACACTTATTTTCACAGATTGGAAAAATAACAATTCAAATTAAACTCCTAAGGCTTATCAAACTTTGATTTACCCAATTATTTTTGTAAAATATACTAAACAGAATCAATATATCACACTGACATTAGTGGTGTGCTGGTTTTAGTCAGGAAAGCGTTAACTTTCTTCATAGTGGCTGGTATGAAGCTGGGTTTCTGGATCTACCCTGAGAAAAGTACTGATAAGGTGTCTTTTTAGCTGGCGCTGGGGAGTGCTTGCACCAAATTCAGGCTCTTTCTCAGCTTCTGATACTGCAGCTGCGTTCCCAACTCTCTCACTACAGGCCGTGTGTGGGAACGCACACAGTTCAGACAGCTGACCCAAACTGACCGAAGGGGTAGGTCATTCCACAGCACGTCAGGCTCAGTTCGTAAGCGGGTAGTGGGCTGGAGGGGCATCGCCCTTTTGCTGGCTCCTTTGCTAACTCCTTTGCTAGTTCCCCAACTCCTTTGCTATCTCCTTTGTTAGCTGCTTTGCTAATTCCTTTGCTTGCTCGTTCATGAGTTGGTGGGTCTGTTAGTTTTCCTGGTCATGCTGTTGCTTGTGGGGCTCACTCGGACTCTGCTGAGATCGCTCTTGGGCTCCGGCTCTCCAGCTGCAGTTCTTGGGCTCTCTAGCTCTGACTCTCACTACCTGGGACTTGGCTGTGCATTGGTTGGCAGGTGTTGTGCAATTGCAGCATATGTTTTATTGTCTATTATTTTAATTACTTACTATTAGTGGTATTGTTATATATTAATTTATATATCATATACTAGTCACTTATATTCAATTAGTAAATAGTTCTTATCTCAGTTTTACAAGGTTCCTTGTCTTCTTCCTCCGATTCTCCTCCTCTGCTGGAGGAAGGGAAGGGAAGGTGTGAGGGTGGCTTTGTGTTATTTTCCTGGCCGGAGTTAAGCCATGACAGTGGTTTGATGTGATACAGTATTTTGTCTTTTGAGGTGTAGAATTTCTTTGCAGCTCTGCTACCTAACACTCATCCCAAAGTTCTCATTTAGAAAGCCTGAAGAAACACAGTAATATTTTAATAAGCATTTTTTCAACATTTTGAGCTCACACTTATTTCTCATATACTGAAAATGTTGGTGTCTTGTTTTGTTTGTTTGTTTGTTTGTTTTTTATCCTGTAGAAACACACTGAACCAAACACACAAGCCACTTCATGAAAGAATTGTGGCTAGAATCAAAAAGGAAGTAGGCTTCCTACCCCTATTTGTTGCTTATGTTAGGACTTCAACCCACCCATCTCTGAAAAAGAAAAAAAAAACCCAAACAAGAAAATATCTTTATGTCCCTTAACATAAAAAACCCTAAACCTCTTCAAAAATAAAATATGAAGGGAGAATGTAGGGTTGATGATATTTTTAACTTATCTCTAGTTTTATTTCTAATACAGCCACATTTATCCTTTAAAAAATATAACCAATTACAATTCCTAAATGACAAGCTACTTGGAAGTAGTAAACTGTGATTTTCCACTTAAGAAATGTTGAACTGTATGGTCCAGCATCTTTGAATTTTCAAGTCAGAAAAATTAATTTAAAAACTCATGTTTTCTAGTGGGAGGTGTTAGTTTGCCGGGAAGCAGGCATTGTGACAAACTCTCCTTCTGAACTCTACATAACATACCTTCCCTTTTTCTCTTTCAGAGAAGAAACGATGCAAAGGTCAACCCTGACCTTCCATCTAAGCACTCTCTGATCTGGAGATTACCTGTGAAATACTTCAGAGGTCCCCTAGCAATGGGAGAGTCATGATTTCACAGTGGCCTCTCTTTCCTCTGGACTAATACATGGATATGAATATATATGCTTGAACTTCAACTAAAGCTTAGATAAATATTTACTAATGCTATTACAGTTTAATTGGCAACAAGTTTAGAAGCAGAGGCAACAGTAATTCCTTAACAACAGTTTCTAATGTGTGTTGGTGTGGGTTTTTTAACATACTGCACAGACTGTCTCTCAAAAACTGAAACAATAATAGAGCCATTTTACTGGCAAACTACTCGAGACCTATCTAACACACTCTCTGGTGCATGCTATAAACCCGTAGCATATGGCGTTTTTTTTTAAATATTTTTAGTATCTAATCTATGCTCAAAATTGGAGGTGTACCTGTGTTATGAATCCCTCCATATTGTATGCTGTGAGCCCGTGTGATGGCTTAGCACACAGTGTGTCCAAAACTGAGATTCTGTGGCAGTGTTGCACCCTGCCTAGCAGACTGCTTGGGATGGAGATCATTAAGAGGCATGAGTTTCAGTGATAAAAGGCTCTGCAAAACAATGCATTACATTGAATTACAACCCTTTTCTCTTCCCTGTAGAGATTCAGCTTGGAAGAAAGTAGATAAAATATGTGTAGGTGCGTAAGCATTGCTTTATAACCCAAACGGGATGTGTTAAGCTCTGGTAAACCTGAGCAGAGCTAGAGGAGGAAAGCCGACCGAAACCTGCAGGCAAAAAACACTGCACATAAATATCCAGTTACTTGATTTGTGGCTATAGATATATAATTGGCTATTAATATTTTTTTTAGGAATAAGTAGTATTTAGAAGGCTTGGGTAGTCTCTTTAAAACATGGATCCCAAACCAAACACGTCAGGGAGAAAGTCTTCATTTCTTTTTGGGTTTGTTTTGTAAGAACACTCTAGTTTTATAGTCACATGCTCCTTCTGCAGAAAGCAATTGTCTTGACTGAGATTTTTAGGAGTGGGCCAGAACAGGAATCACTAGAAAAAAAATCAAAAGCTTGAAAGTGGAGTTATTTCAATGAATGTTCTCCCTAAGGATGTTTAAAAGTACAACTAAAAATCCCTTCTACCTGCTATGGTGGAGTCAGCCCAATATTTGGTTCGTCATTTTTCTAAATCAAGTTGAGTTTAATTCTTCTATCAAGGACTTTGATTTAACCTTTAGCAAATTCTGCACACTGTCACTAGGAGTGGTGAAACAAATAGTCTGTTCAGAAGAATAAGGAAAGAACAGAGAGTGCAGAACATCCTACTGAAAAAAAGGAGTGGAATCTGACCAGGCTGATCCCAACATTATGCTCAAATTAGGTATACATTTTGCAGGGCTGCCTCATTAACTTTATGGTAAAGAATGAATTCTGATCTAGCATAGATGTGTGAAGCTGGCAAGCTGTTCTTCCCAGTATGTTTTTTTTTGACTAAGATTTCCATGACTAAAGCAAATATCTTTTCCTTTCCATCATCCTTTCTTTTAATAGCATTTGAGGCATCCAGGTGCTAGCAGGTGGCTTGGGTAGCACTGGGTATTTTGTAAAGGCAGATGTTAGGAGAGCCAGTGAAAGGAGGAAATCCCACTACATTGTGCATCATTATTTTGCACTGCAGTGAGAACAAAGGTGCGCTACATACCAGGGAATAGTAAAAACAGTGGAAAACGAGGAGCTTATATTTGCTTGCTAGCTTCTTACAAGAAGAACCATTTTAGAGGCTTCTGTGGCTATAGCCCTATAGCAAGTGTTTATTTACACTGGGAGATTAACGTCTGTAATTATACACCTGGAGACAGATGCATGTAATTCCCTTTGTGGCACTCCTAGTCAAGAAACAGAATATTTTGGAAGCAAACATGGCTTCTGCTGACTGCAGTACTGGATTCTTGCCTGGGGTGTTACCAAGCTAGATAGTGACTCACTGCCAAGGTAGATGATTCTCTTTTAAAGATGCTGATGTGTGTTTTGAGAAGTAAGGTCGTCGTTAAAATATTCTATTGAACAAGTGCTGAGGTCACAGCAATCTGGGACATCAGTCAATGGGAGTTCCTTTTAGTTCAGGCTAAAGTCTTCGTGTGTGTGAGCTTATCTCCAGATCTTGCAAGTGTAACTTACCCAAGAAGGCTTTAAATAATATGTTGATTTCATATTTGAATATTAGAATTTAAGACACTTTGCCAAATTTGAGCTAAATTAGAAAAGGAAAAAAAAGTTCTAGCTTAGTTCAGGAACTAATCTTCTTGTCCTGATGCCTTCTTGGTGCTTTTGTGGATTTATATGCCTGAAGGAAAAACGAGGCATGAGAGAAATTTTGTACAGTTTGTCTTACTCCATGATAGTATGAATGAAGCCACAGTGTGGGTTTTACCTGTAAAAAAATAACATTTTGGCAATATTTTATTTTACTGTTCTTCTCTAGTGACAAAATACTGTGTTCCTAGGTGAGGTCCACTCTTAGATACGCTGATTAGACAGAATTGCAATCCTTGCAGAGCTGACCTCTTGTATCCCGGTGTCACTTTTTCATGGCACAGGTCCACATGGAGTTTGCAGAGGTGGAAAACCACGATGACATTCACACCAGTGAAGATGGATGTATTCACACACAGGACCAGCGAGGGGTTTACATAATGTACTGTGTGGCTTTAGAGAACCAGAAGGAGCTTGAGAACCAGCTGCTGCTTGTGGCCAGCCAGTGTATTGAGAAAGATAAAAGTAAGTTTCCTACTGGTCCAAAGGACCTGGGATAATTTGGTTTGCTGTTTTCAAGGTAGACTGATCCTATGACGTCATTCTTCCTATGAATCATTGCTATACTTCTGCAAGACCAAGTGTTGCCCGGATTTTTGGGACCTTTCTTTATCCTAGTTAGCTAAGTGATGAATGTGTTACACAGACCTAACTGAGCATGTGGAATTGCTTGTCACATGTTGTTAATGTCACAGTTCTGCACTTATTCAGGGTCATAGACATCAAAGTCATCCTGGAGGGGAAAATCACACAGAAGGGACATTTGCTGATGTAAAGTAATATAATGAGCAAGCACATCTTCAAGGCACAGAGAGCCAGAAGAAAAAAATGTTAATTGTTTCTGAATGTCTTTTAATTAATGTATCTGATTGCTTTTCTGCAGAACCAAATTTACCTCCCACTACCTTTAAACTTTTCTCAGTAGTAAATAAGAAGCTGCAAAATATTTGCTGTTCTAGACTTCCTTCTTTCCTGCTGTTTTGGTGGGTTTATTTTCTTCTTCTTTTTTTATGGTAAGAACTGAGTTGAGGCAGACTGTATTACAGATTTCTAAAAAGAGCAGCTGTGTTTCCAGAATAGTGGGGAGGAAGACACTTCTAATTGTTGAAAGTATGGAGGGTTGGCCATTAGAAAACAGTGACTAAATGGCACAGGCACGTATGATATTCAGAGCGTTGCACAAAATCTCTCTTAGATCACTGGAGTTACTTTCTGTATAGATAGGATAATGGTTTTGATCATTTAGTATGCTTCCCTAAAATTGAATATTCTGACATACAATGCAGGGCAGAGCTGAGGATTAAGCCATTTACAAACCTGTGAACGCCTGCTAGGACCTCCTTTGAAGTCACCTGAAGGTCCTCATTGTGCACCTTTTTCTGGAGCATCTTGTGTATGAGAGGCTGAGAGAGCTGGAACTGTTGTGTTTGCAGAAGGCTCAGGAGGGACCCAAACCACTGTGTATCCCACCACCTGGTGGCAGGAAATGAAGACGAGGGAGCCAGAATCTCCTCAGCGATCCCCAGTGACAGGACCACAGGCACTGGGCACAAATTGAAATACATGAAATTTCATCAGAACACAGGAAAACACTTTTTTTACCATGAAGGTGGTCAAACACAAGCACAGGCTGCTGAGAGGTCTGTGGAGATACTCAAAATCTGACCGGACACAGTCCTGGGCAACCAACCCTATGTGACCCTGCTGAGGTTTGGCTAGATGACCTCCAGAGATCCCCTCCAACCTCAGCCGTTCTGTGATTCTGTCATTACAGTAGGCAGACGACTGAATGAGTCTGGTATAGCAGTTCTTGTGTTTATAGGTCACTTCAGTGTCACCCTCACACAGTACGCTTGGGGACTGACCATGTACCTGTCCTCGTTCCTTATGCTCCTTCCTGATATGGCCTCTTTCTGTGTGCCATGGACCCAAACACTTTTAATACTGACTTCTCCAGTGATCGTGGACTTCAAATGATTCTCTTGTTTGGCTTTTGAAAAATAAGGTACTTAAATTTGGAGCTAAAGAGTAGCCACTGAAGCCTCTTCCATTTATTCCATGGCTGAGTTTGAACTCTGCAGCTCTAAATATTTCACTCTACTTGATGTATCATTTATTGTTGAAATTAACTCTAATTTAGATTGTATCACAACCAAGAAGCCAAAAGCATGATTTCTTCAAGTATTTCTCATGGGCTGCTAGTGTAGAAATATTTGTAGTGATTTTTTTTTTTCCCCTTCCTTCACAGTCATTTTTAAGTTATGAAGACTGACTTTTCTAATAGTGAGCCATCTGAAAAGAAAGCCCTCCCCTGGGTCAGCACTCTGCCCTGCTATATCTCTTTGTAAAATTTATCTTTGCGTAGCTTTTCTTTGATCTGAGAGGGAAGGTGAGGGGGTGAGGACGATCCCCACATGATTTGGTGCTGTGAAAGATTAAGCTTCTCTTTACTTTTCTCCCCTAGATTTCTTGTGCTTTCTCTGGCTTTACCTCTTGATGTGGGTCTTTTGAACTCCAGCCTTTCAAGGAATATTTGTTAAAAGATGATGGAAGAGAGATGTTTAAACCAAATGCCTGGTGTGCTTGTTCTTTGCCTTGCAGAATACTCTGGGATCCTCCAAAGCTCATGGGACTTGAAATTTTTTCCTGTCTTGGCGTTTCCTGGCAAGCAAAAACTACAACTCTGTGCTATAAATAAAAAGAATTACCACAAGCCATGGGGCTCTAGGCATGTGGAAAATGCTCTTGATACTGGCATCTGCTTGTTTTCGATTTACTGGTTTTGTCTTAGGCAATGTGACTTGTGAGCAATTCAGTGGCAGCAACATCCTTGGCCAGGCACATGCCTCTGTGGATCGATGTCCTGTGGTGCTTGATTTCTGGACCTGTGACACTGCTCTCCTGGAAAAAAAAAAATGCCAGGTACAGGAGCTTTTCTTTGTCTGAAAACAGTGATTTACAATCAGTTCACTTCAGACCCTTTCAACAGCATTTCTTGTTGTGCATACACATGGATGTCCGAGCCAGCGACTGTGGGTGGTGGTACGGGATTCAGGTGCTTTGGGAGCCTGGTGCTGGGCTGGGTGCAGAGGGTTGGAACTGCTGGGTGCTGAGTTGGATCCAAAGGATCACATGTAATGGCTTTTGCAACAAGAGAGCAGATGTGCTCTTGTTGTCAGGCAGCAGCCCCTGTAGCTGCTGTGCCGGGGCTGGAAACACTTCTGCAAGGCCTCAGGGAGAGTCACCCACCATTGAAAAGATTAATTGGGAAGGGCAAGTCCATCCCCAAAGCAGAACTGCAGGGTGATTTTTGCCCCTGGTTGCGTGCCAGGGAATGGAGCACATGTGGACTAGGAAGAATCAGGTCCAGACCCATGGAGCCTGGGTCTGGAATTCCAAGATGCAAGTTTTGTCAGTGGTCCTGGCTGTCCCTGCTTTTTGGGGCTCGTGCAGGGAATGTTTTAGGGTTGTCATTAGCTTTGTAGTCACTGCATCTTTTTGAAGCTCAGGGAAACAGTCTGTTACTGGCTAGGCCCATCATTTGGATTACCCTTTGTCAGAATGAACCAGAGACACATTTTTTAACGTTACTGCATAAAAAATAATCCATTTATTAATAAACCCTATATATTTTATAAATGTATTTATTCTTTTTTAGTTAATCCATTTGAGCAAAAAATGTGGTGATTTAGTATGGAGTTAAAAATTCCAACAAACAAACCAACACTAAATATGTGAATTATGTGATTCGTAGCTTTGTGATTCACAAGGGCTACAGCATATCCCATGGGCTTTCCCATTCTTCTCTTTGAATCTAGTCATCGGTGTGCATTTTGCCATAGGACATGAAAGCATACAGGGTTTCTGCTCAAAGTCTTCAGTCGTGAAAGATGAAGATTAGACAAGCTCAGAGGAAGGGACCCAGAGGAACTTGAAAGCGTATTTCTGTCTACGGGATTCGCCAGTCCCAAGGGCTATGCTGTGGGTGTCAGGAAGCGGAAAGGAGCAGATACTCCACTTCAGAAGCAGGGAGAAATGGCACTAATTGAGGTTGCCTTCACACACTGAAATGTTTTGTTCTCAGTCCTGGAGCAACACAGGGCAGCCCTCAAAATAGGGATGATAGAGGGTGTTAGGGAATCTCCTGTGTACTATTGAAGAGGCTTTAAATAGAAAAACTTTTAAATTAACTTGTGGTATGTAGTTTAGGAAATCTCCTAAAGCCACTCTCCCATTTTCATAGAGGGGCTTTGACAAAGCTATATAAAAATACTGTCTACTTGCCTAGTTCACTAAGTTTCTGCCCTCATCCCAGTAGACTTCACTTTCCATTGCTGTATAATCATGCTACCTCTGTGAATCTACCTTTTAGTTTTATCATGGGCCTTCTGAATAAAGAGGCTTGCTTTCTTTTTGGAAGAAAAACTCCCGCAGGAGAAGAATGAAACCTCTACAGCAACAATACACTAATTCTCTTCCAAAACCATCAAAGAGTATATTCTGGAACTGCTCTCACAACCCAGCTGTCTAGGCAAGATTAAATGTACAGATGTGCTGTTGCTGGACGTCTTTTACTTTTAACTGAAATGAAATGGAAATGGGTCTCTCTAGCTTTCTTTCCAGCTGGGACAGAGTTCCTTATGAATGAGGAAACAATAGTACTTTGTCTAGCAGCTGAGACAGCTTAGCTTAGACAATATAAAACTTGCTAATGGCCTACTTCCCAAGCACTGTTTTAGCTTCCTCCAGAACAATTCAGGTCAGGCAGGTCTAAATCAGAGCGCTTGACTGTTGAAACTGAATTCTCAGCTACTGAGTTACCTCCTAGGCCCTTCTGCATCTTCCTCTTCCAGTCTACTAATCTCATTATGAAAAGTAACGTGGATGCTTTTCTACTTCCCCGTCAGTGCAAAATAGCCAGATCTAGATAATTTCATATCGATATGACCAATTTCTTCAGAAGCAGGAGCACTGGATGTTCATATTTTCAATCCTTCAATTGCCATCTGACCATAAAGTACTACAATGTCATCTCAAGAGTTCACACATGCTGTCATGCTTGGCACATTTCTTTTTGTGTCTTAAGCTGTGGGTATTTGTAATTGAAATTTTTATTTAAATAAAACTCTACTCTTGGTAGCAGAGCCTGAAGAGGCCATGTGTCTTTATACATCTTTAATTGCATCTTCAAATTATTTGGAATTTCTCAAAAAAATGTGGAGTAACTGTGACAGTCATTGCCAAATGACATAATAGAGTGTCTCAGATGAGTCTGCAGGTTTCAGTCTGGGGGAAATGGAGTCTTTCAAATATATGAAACCAGTGTGTGCTGGAAAAGAAAGAGAGAATGGATTTGTTGTGCAAAGAACAGGTGTTTTTAAAGCAATAATTGCATTGCCTTGTTACTTTTCTGAAGGAAAAACGTGTGGAATAATAATCTTCGTGCTTCAGTAGGAAAAAAACATGTTAACTATGCAAGATTTGGAAGAAACTTCTGTGGGTGGTTCATTCTATGTTCTGTTCTTGAGCCTTCTGATGAAGCATCCAGTAATATTATGTGCCAGAAACAAGATGCCATACGGCGTCACTGTAGGTTTGATACAGGCAGCAACCTCCGTGTTCAGAAATCTCTCCCCAACAAAGAATGAATATTTGGGTGAATAAGCATTTCTAAATATGCTTCTGAATATCCCTTCAGCTTCTAGATGTTTACTTTGAAGCTTACCAACATGCTTTGGACCCAGAGGGAAGATTTGCTTTGGATAGCTGACATCATGCATAAGCATCCACAGTTTGATCTGAAGCTTGAATATTTTGTCAACACCTACAAAGCTGAATGCATCTGTTTGCAACTTCACTTCCAACTGCTGAGGGACACAGTAAACCAGCAAGTAGGTTGAATGTACAGTATATCCATCTTGGGCAAGTAGAAGGTGAAAGCCAGAAGGGGAAACTTTGATTAAAGCCTGCATGAGTTTACAGTGCTAAGATGGGTCAATAGCTATTTAATAGTGAAGTCTATGGATGCTTTGTAAATAGAAGGCCTGAAGCTCAAGAGCAGGAAGCTATCATTTCCTCAATATCAGAAATAAAATGTTGTAAAGATTACAGAGCTTCATATGTCATCTTAAAGCCACATCTGCTAATGTTTGAGACAATTAGAAACAGTACTTGAGAGGCATGGAAGATGGATAAAACTATAATCTAATGCAGTGGATAAGTAACTAGTCCTGTTTAGAGTACGAGAGATGAGACTTTAAAGGGAATATAAACAAAGCTTGTACTTTAAAGTGCACTTTGAAAAGCAGTATATTTCAGATAGCTGTGAATTCCTGTCCTACTGATTAAAGCCCAACATCTGAAATCACAATTTTTCTCTGGTTTAAAAATCTACCTCAGCTTTCTTCTGTATCCTGCCACAAGATATTTCCTTTCTCTGAGCTTTGATTTCAGAGGCTGCAAGTTGGGAAGTTTCATTAGCCAGCTTTGTAACTTGGCTTTTCGTCCACAAACGGAAGTTTGGGGTTTGGTTCAAGAGGCTACTGTTGTGCTGCTGTTGCCACTAATGCTACCATACTGCTAGCAATAAAAATGGAGCTTTGTCAGCATGGTTGGAGCTCAGACTTTGTTCTGAAGGAATATGAAAGATTCAAAGTAATTTTAGCAGGAATAATTTATCTAGAGTGAGTACATATATAATTAACTTGAACATTTTTAGTTTTATAAATATATATACAAACAGAAATTTTTGCAGCTTATGTTTAATCAAAGAATAGTTGGTTTTGCCTTGATTTCTAGCTATGTGTGAATTTTATTGGCTAATGTCACTTGTGCTTATTGCTGAGTTTTAGATAGATGCCCAGAGTATATCCACAAGATTTGGTGGGAAGGTCAGAGAGGTGGCATCAGTGAATTTGGACTTCCTTATAATGTAATTAGTAAGCAGTTTATTTCTCTTAACACTAGCTGGTGAGTATTTATGCAGTTTTATTTTTCTGGAGAGTAACCGTTTCTGTTCTAGTTTCTGTGATTGATTATAAAAATCAGGGATCCAGCACCTGAAAGTAAGACTATTTGAAACACGAGAGTCATAAGGTGAATCAAGACATAGATAAATGTCTCATGCTATTTAGATAGCTGGAAAAACAATTAAAGAGCAAAAGCTGATTCCTTCCCTACCGCCTTTTCATGACAATGGATTTAATAATTGCATCTTGCAGTGCACGGGGACATTAATATTCCTATGGGGCAGAATAGTAAAGAGTAGAGCTTTAGGCTCTCTGTGTCAGTATCCTGATCTGGCTTTACACCTTTCACTGCCCTTTGGCCACAGCCTATCACTCTTTGTAGCATAAGTGCCCAGTTGGATGCGCCTGTACAGTGTTTTCACACGTGGAACCCGCTCCCGACCTGCAGTAGAGAGCTGCCTCATCTTTCCCATCATGCAACTGTGCAGCACAAAGGAGTCTCATAGCAGCTGATGCACAGCCAGAAGCCAAAAGCTCCTTGCCTCTGGTCCCTTCTGGTTTCCTGCCTCTGTCTCAAGCCCCTTGGCCCTATTCCTCCCCTGCACACATTTTGATTTTGTGTTGGCTATCTCAGGGGTTATTTTCAAGTGCAGACAGTTTTAATGGGTGGGCATAATAGACCTGAAAATATGGTTAATAAAACATGTCAGCTAACGAAAGTAAATTTTAAACATTTTCTGTTTTCATTAGCAAATGAGACTACTTAGATATGTTCCAACATAATTATGTTTATTAAGGCTTCAGTTCTATTTTCCAATTTGATGATTGATTTCTGATGTGCGCTAGAGCCATTGCAATTTTCCTTGCAAATTAAGCAATTGCAAGGTTTCTTTATACATACAATTTATAAAAGCCTTATTTGAGAGCTATTTTTTCTTTCTTCGTTTTTCTTGGGTTTAAGTCCTACTTTGAAGAGCATGTATTTGCTGGAGTTTCATCCTTTTCTTGATCTGGTATTTTCGATCCCCAAAGCTCTTGAGTTCATCTACCAGGAATTCTACAGCATCTGCAGACGAAAAACAGTCAGTAAAGAAAGTAATTTAGAAAAACAAGTACTTCAGGTAGTAGTTGATGAGTGGCACACTATGGAAAAACCAGAAATTTTTTACAGCTCTCAGATTCAAAAAGACTAAGTTCCATTTTTATGTTGATAATGACTCTTTATAGCAGAATGCCCAAGAGCATGATCTTCATTTATGCTTCCTGGTTAAAGTCCTAGCTATGTGATTCTTAATTCAATTATTTGTTTATGATTGTTGAAGATCCATTCTATCTACCTCTAAAATAATATTTTTTCTGTAAATGAACACAAAAAGGTAGAACTCTTGATCTCATGCCAGTATAAAGTAGAAACAATCAGCTTAATGAGAAGGAAAATACACTCAAAACCAAAGTGAGATCAAGGTAAGTCTCTAGGTTTTGAATTTCTGTATGTGTACATTCTGGGGGAAAAAAAACCCAGACTGGACATTAAAGCAAATATTGTTATAGGTGAAGCTATTTGTTACTGTAATGTCCACAATTTCCTGGTGTAGAATTCTGAATGTGGTTGGTTATAATGTTGATTTATGCTAATTGTTATGGATGAAATTATCGATGCTGGATGTCTCTATCAAGTTGATTTTTTTTTTTTTAATTAATCAGCTTAGTTGTTGCTGAGAGCAAGAAATGGAAAACAAATTATTTAATCTGTTTTCTCTGCAAGATTGTAGTAGAGCTATGCTTTGGAGCATACATTTCAAATTTGGGAAGGCTCATTAGGTAGTGATATGCTATGTTTTCATTCCTGCCAAGTTTGGCCAGCATAAACTAAACTAAAATAAACTATTGAAACGTGTCCAGTAGGAAGACCTTATCTGAAGTTTCTGTGTGCCCTGGTATATCTATAACCTGAGGTGAATCTGGACTTTCCACTGTCCCTGCAATAATAGCTCAGGTCTAAGTGATCCATGGCTGGTTTGGGCTTGAGCACTGGAAGTGAGCATGAGGAGCTGTTAGCCTTCACTGTCCCTTGCATTGCCTTGGTTGGAGGCAGCGGAGGAAGCTGCCTGAGTGGATTGCAGAGGAGACGTGGCAGCTCTGCTAGTGGAGCAGGAGGTAGGCAGGAGCATGGAGAAAATACAGCTGTCATGGTTGGTAAGTGGGATGGCAGCCAGTAAATGGGAATGAAGATTGAGGTGGAAGAAAAGCTGGGCAAGACTGGGACTAAGACCCAGTATGTTCCTTCCTTTTGGAAGGAAAAGATACGGGGGAAAAAGTACACTGCAAGTTGGGGCTGGTGCAAGAAGGCACCTCAGGTGGGGGTTGAGAATGGTTTGCTAAAGAGATTGGATTGGATCAAGCTTTCAAAAGCAGTGATAACAGGCCTTGCTAATCAAGGGAGAGGGGATGAAAATGAAAAATTGAGGCACGGATACATAACTGGTTAGATGAAGAGACTGTGAAGACAGTGACAGGTAAGAAAGTAAAGAGGCAAACTAAAGGCAGAAGGGCACAGCCTCCTAGGCCTGGCCTAGAGCAAAACCCAAGAATTACTTATTGTAATATAATTACAATATTGCTTATATTTCTTTCTGAAAGATTGGCATCTCTCAGCTGCCAATAAAATCCACTGCCAGTGTCCCACTACTCTCATGTTGACAGCAGATCACTAAGGATTCTTCGCTTTTTCAATTTTAAATCCTAGAAGTCAGTGGCAGAGTTCTTACAGGTACCAACCACACTGTTGTTACCAAGGGGGACAGGGAGAGGTTTTGTTGCAGTTACTTCTTGCCTGTTCCTTTTCCTCCAACAGAAGCTGCAGATCAGACAATTGCACGCAAGCAGGCAATGTTTAGAAAGACATTAAGGTTGTAAAAATCAAGCATTTAAATTTTAGGAAGCTTACCTTTGCCAGAACAGTTTTAATTTGATTTCCCTTTGCACAGGCATGATGATGCAGTCTTTACATGATCACACTGTTTTTCTTTATGACTTAGTATGGTAAAATCAACATTTCTGTCCTTCCTGGACTGCTCCTTTTGTGATCCTGGACCTCATTCTTTCATGTTATTCTGGCCCTTCACTAAGGATGGTTTTACAAGATAGTTTTTATTCCCCATCTGACTTCTAAACATCATTCAACTTCATAATAAACAAATTACCCAGGGGTGAGGTACAGATGCTGCCAGTCTGTGAACAAGGGCCAGATTAGAGTGCCAGATCAAAAGAAAAGTGAATTCTGGAATTAAAAGACTAAATGATCCCTGGGAAGCTGTGAGACCTTTCTTGCACACCCCAAACCAGGAGCTGCTACACTTAGTTATTCCAGTGAGATAAAGAGCTGTCCTGTTCTTAAACATACCATGTGATAGACTTTTTCATGCAGTCTGTTGTAGTGCTTCACCAGCTTCATCTTTAGCAAGTTCTCCTTAAAGTCTAGCACATATGTGCCTTGCTACAGTCTAAGCTTACTAACTCTTCTCTTGTCCTCTTTGGAAATAGGGAAGATGCTGATCTCCTTATAGCAGCTCTGTCAAGAAGCACATAAAGATGGGTTGTCCTGTCCCACCCATCCAGAGTCACAGAATTACAAAGCACTTTGTAATAGACAGGGGAAGAGAGACAAAATAAAGTTTCACAACTTCTGACACTTAAATTTGGGGTGTTGTCTTTTCAAACTTTTATATTTTTCACCCAGTGGGGCTGTGAAGGTGTAGCGAATGGCAGGTGTTGAAATCTTGACTCCTATTACTAATAACTGCATGGCTGGGTTCCGAATTCCTCATGATCTGTGATTCATCGACCATAAGCAGCAAAGTATGAAGCCACTCAGCTGTAACGGTGCCCACATCTGACAGGAGCAGGGTGGCACAATTGTACGAGTTGTGACAACTAGTGACAAGAACCATCTTCTCCTTCACAGAGACCCAGAAGCTGTCCCTGCCACCACTTCCATGGCACCACTGTCTTCTTTCCAGCTCTCCACATGACTGAGCTGTAGCTTTTGATAATTTTTCTTTCCTGGGGTTTCTGCTCTTTTGGAGGCTCCCACTGCCCCAGTAGAACGGAGTCAAGCTCTGCTGAGTTAGCTGACCATGTCAGTTTGCTGTCCCTGTTTTGGGAGCATCATACGTATGGTGGCGCATGTGCTGGGATCTGCAGACTCTTCAGAGGAGGAATGGCCTCAGCTAGTAATAAATGAACCAAGTTAGAGAGTTCCTGCCTTAGAGAGGTATATACATCTGAAAGCCTTCTGAATTTTGGGTATAATAAAAAAGGCAAATATCCTGTGTTAGATATAAAAAAAATAAATAAAATAAACTTTCCATGGTCTCCTGAAATACATAAAGACCTTCATCTGTATGTAAATTATTTATCTGTTTGGTTTTTTTTTGTTTTTTTTTTTTTTCCCCTTTCTTTGCAGTTATTTGTTGAGGTACTGATAGAAGACCCTGTGCTGGTGCAAGAGATTGCTTTGTCACTATTAGAGGTGGGAGCAAATGAAGAAAAAAAGACAGGCAGAGAAAAACAGCTCTTTATCCTAGATTCCTTCTCCACGCTCCTGGAGCTTGCCACACTCCGGCATCGGCTGATAGAGGTGGCGAGAGAGAGTGTGCAGTTAGCCAGGTTAGTGGGTCAGTAGTGCTGCTTTAGCTATGGTGACCTCGGAGAGGTAAAAAAAAGGGAAAAAGCAACTTCTTTTAAACAGACCACCTATTAGAGCTGGAAAAAACCCACAGAGGGAGGGAGAGTGTCTGCGTTTGTGCTGTGGGAGATATGTTTGCTTGCTATGTGACGATGGTCTACCTTGCGTTTGCAGATATTCATTAGTTTCAAAAGTTGAGGCCATGCAGCGCCTCAAAGCTTAAACAAGTGAAAATACTGAAATTTTGCTGAAAGGAGGAGCAGGAGGAATTCACTGATTGAATGAACACAAAGATGCCCCCTTCTGCAGAATTTTACACAGGTGATTATTTTAACTGCCTTGTTATGAGGAGTAGTGCAATATAAGAAAAGGCACACAAGAAGTACAAGCTTTGTTCACCACCAGAGGTAGAAAAGCATAAAAATTGTTCTGGCTATGCTGATCCTTAAAATGATAATGAAATAATCTACACACGGGAAATCAGTGTCCTGCATTTGTGGAGTAATCAGCTGGAGGAGATGACAGTTTGTACGGGAAGACAAAGAAGATAAGGACTGAGTTAATGGGGAGACTACAAAGGGTAGTGTTGGACTACTGGTTTGGAGGCAGTTTATTGGTGAAATTCCTATTGTTCAGCTCCATTTTACTTGACATTTTTATTAATGATCTCAATAGAAAACATAAGAGAGTGTTATTAAATTCAGGACATTGTAGTGCTGGCAGATAAAACTGATATGGAAAATAAATGGAATATTTTACAGGAAGAACTCATGGTTCTAAGGACTGGAGTGATAGAAAGGAGATAAGCATCAATAACACAAAGCTTAAAGTTATGCATAATAATAGGAAATTCTCCTGTGAACTTTGAGTTTATTAGTTGGAAGGAACAGAGAAGGAGAAAGAACTGGGTGTATAGCTGGCCATGGGATGATTGTAAACTGCCAACGTATCGCAGTTGTGGGCAGGGGGAAAGCCACTGTGTCTTACTGTGAATCAGGCAGTGAGTTTTGTAACCAGTGAAGAGAGGGAGGACTGATGCCGTGTATGTGATTCTGGTGAGGCCGCACCTGGATTATTAAGTATAATTTGGAGATTTGTGTTCAGGCAAGATAAATTGAGATTGGAATGGGAGCAAAGATGATCTAATAGCATTCTGAGGGGAACCAGAGAATGCATTTTACAAAAGCAAATGAAATATCTTGGCTTGTTTATCCCAGCAAAATGAAGGCTGAGAGAAGATAAGATTGTTCTCTATAAATGCACCAGGAGGATAAGCACTGGGAATGGAGAGGAGCTATTTAAGCTACAGGCTGATTTTGGCAGCGAACAAATGGATTTAATCACTGTGAATAAACTTAAGCTGGAAATTAAAAGGGGATTTCTAAGAATCAGATGACAAAGTTCTGGAAGGGAAAAAAAAACAGTTTTAAAATGGGGCTTGATTTATGTATGAAAAGGATTTGTGATACGTGATTGCTTGCAGTAGCAAGGTTGATTGTGTAGGATAGATAACATTACAGATGTGCTTTTTCTTTGTCTTAACCCTTTCTCTAGCTACCTTCTTGAAAATTTAGAGTCCATATCAAAAAGTCAGCAGCATTTATATTCAGCAGCTGAAAACCTAGATATCATTAAGATATGTGAGAGACAACCATTCAACTTAGTTTGGTGGAAAACCTGATTTTCAGTCACAACTCTTTTCCGTTAAAACAAGAACTTCCTGAACAGCTATAATTTGCTATCTGGAATTTCCTTGGGTAAACTAACAAACAGGTTAATTTCCTTCAACCCAAGCAATTCCATGAAGCTAGAAGGTCTCCTTTCTTGGCAATTTGTGCTTCTTGTTTGGATACTCAACTTTCTAATAAAACGCAGATTCTTGATATACTTCTTCCACTGGTTGACGTAACTTTCTGTGTTCCTTTACTCATACACATACACACATAAACACACATACATTTTCTGGTAATTAATAAGGGGTAAGTTACACTGCAACTTTTCATTTAGCTGAAAAATCAATATCCAATAATTAATTATATCTTAATAGCTTAATATCTTGAAAGCGCTGTTTCTCTGTCCGATTTCATTAATGTTCACCAACTGATGTAAAAGTTATCCAGAGGAGACAGATGAGCAGACTGGATCATCACATGGCTACGTTTCAGGAACAGGGCTAAGAGGACATGCTCATCTGAGGTGACATGCTTAGAAATCCCTGAAAAGTACCAGTAGATTGTCATTTTCCAGGATGGGTAGTCAGTGCAAAGTTATGACAAAAAATAAGGCTTCACGATGCATATGGAAGGTCAATAAGAATGTAATTTTCTTCATTTAACAGAAGATGGTTAAGTCAGTCTAAATACTAGTGTAAACATATGTAGTTTATTCATTATGTCATTTTGAGGGTCTATTTTGACATCTTTTGATGCAAAGGTCACAGTTCATTATAATATGAGCTGTTAGAGACTCAGATTCAGACTGAAATATCAAAAAGGTTGGTAATAATTTTGCTGCCTTGCAGACTAAAATGAAATGAGTGCACCTGCATTTGTGGTTTCCTCAACATCATATCATATCAGGCTTTTGGAGGGGACCTGCCAGAACTGCTCCCATGACTTGCCTGACTCTCCATTCCCAGAGTGGAAGGTCATTCACAGCTTAAAGTAGTGCAGCTTTAGTCTGGATTTTGCTTCTTTCTGGTTTTGTTTGACAATCACCTTTTTTTTGCCCTTTGCACAGTATTAATAAGCTGATTTTTGTGCTGATGTCTGTTTTGTACAGGCTATTCATATGTCTATACTGGCCAAATAAGAGAGCGACATTTATAACAATTACACAGAGCTCTTTAAGACCTTAGAGTTTATTTTGACTGTGCTCCATATGTTTATTGATTGATGCTTATAGTGCCTTTCATATATTATTTTGTCTCCTCCCCTTTTCTTTCCCTTTCTTTGCAGGCAGGGAATGCTACCTGATTTTAAAGGACAAAGAGCTGTGTCTTCTAAGTCGTATTTGTGTCTTTATCACATTCTCACAACATAGCTTCTCTGTGACCTGATTTCTTGACTGATAAAACACCTGCCTTAGATGTTAGGAGGAAGCAAGGGAGTATCTTATTCCTTTGCAGTCTGTATCAAGTCAAATTCTTTAATTTTAACATCTTACACTACATGAGAAGAGCCATCAGAGGCCAGAGCAGCGTTTCTGTGGTCTTGCATCTGAAGGAGTGCGGGGATGGATTTGTAGGGAGGGAAGACAAAAAACTGGCCAGAGCCCAACTTCTGACATGTGATGCTTTAGTGATTTCCTGAGTTAGTGGTTGCATCTAGACCATGTGTTTTCTGTCTGCTGATAGACTGCCCTCATAATTTGTTATACTGGGGAGGTTGTACTAGGGTTTTGTCGTATCGGGAGCTTCTAGAATAAGTGTTTCTTAAGTTATGAAGTCACTGTTCTAGTAGCCATAATGTGTATGAGCTCTGTTTTAACAGCAATAATGTGTACAAGCTCTGCTTGTATATTCATGCTTCCCCTCTGGAAGTCAGTCCTCTTCCCAATTTCTAGTCTAAAATAATGTTCCTTACCTCTCTGCCAAATGCAGTCCTTTCTAAATGGGAACATTTAGCATATTTGCCTTGATTTTCCTTTATGACATTGTAGGCTCACAACTTCCTTCCTGTGTCAATCCAATGGGCAATACTAAGCACCCGTCAGCTATCTGGGTACAACACTTGTTTGCTTCATATCCATTGCACTATTTCATGTGCCAAGAAATGTTTTAAGTTGAATGCAGATGTCTCATTGAAATGAACCCGATGGATGTAGGTTTCTAGATGTATATTGCTTGCAGCAGGAAGAAAGTTAATTTTTCAAATGCATCCATGTGTTTTTGTTTCTAGGTTATATAAAGCTTTTGCAATGGAAGCAGGTTTTGGGGAGTTCCATTTGTACTTGAGGCCTCTGCTCTTTGAATCTGCGTCTCACAGGGAGAAAGCAGACCACCTCCCACCAATGTTCATTACATCTGTCCTGGAAGATGACATTTGTGTTAACAGGTAGACTGAACTTTTTTTTTGTGTTTCACATATAAACCAGAGAAACTTCAGTGTATAAAATACAGAAAATTATTCAGGAAGAAAATGTAAAATGCTGCATAATTTGTTTCCTTTTTGTACAGAGTCTTGGACTGTATAATGCTAATTTAAAACTCTTCAGAAGTGAAAGGGAGGAGGCACCAAACTAAAGTGCATTTTCTTTCAAAGTGAGGGATGCTTAACAGGGCTGGCCTGAAAGTGATTGCCCCAAACCCCATAGGCAGCAAAGCAGGACCTCAGTCTGGCTTCCTTCTTTGTCACACCACATGTTTAGAGATAATTCTGCTTTCATTGCAGATATATTCCATCTAGCTTGCCATTAAGCCTCCAAGAAATTGACAGTCATATTGGAAATCTAAGTTTCCGTACAAGAGATGGTGTTATGCAGGTGAATTATTTAATTTACATTAGCAAAAATTGTGTATCACGATACTATTTATTTACTAGCATATGAAAGGGTCTCAGTCACGTGTTTACTGGACACTATAAACTTCTCTATATTTTGCCTTTGTCTGAGTGATATGGTTTGGTCTACTGATTCATAATCAAATTCCTAAAATCGTACTGAAAATTTGACTGTTAATGTGGCACAATCCAGGAATCCTTACTGGGATGAAACTTTTTAAGCCAGCAGAGTTTTATCTAAGGAGCTTTGTTAAATAGTGTAGAGAGTTCTGTAATGAAAGAAAAGAACCTTAGTCTTCAATGCTATTTTGCATACATAGTCCTTTCCTCTTTGTATGAGTGTATAAAACCAGCATCACAGGCTGCCAGGCCATGGAGATTCCTTCTTTAAATCTCTTCTTACCATCAGCTCAGTCATGACCTGTACCCTGCAGCAGGGTATCATGTAATTAAAAATTTGCCAAGGAAAAACAAATGTGATTTTTTTGGTATCTACTCCTTCCCACTTGGCTTTGCACTTTGGTTTGCACTTTGCTGCACTGTATGGCACCATCCTGCTCTACAGACTACAGCTGAGAATACAACTCACCAAATACAAAGGATTGAAATGTTTCCTTGATCTCTACATTCAGTCATGTTTCAATGATAACAATGAATACAAATATAATAGAATGCTCTCCCTTACCCCTCCTTTCATTAAATTAAGCTGCTGAAGTACTACAAGAAAAGAGAATGATGTCTGTAAAGTAACCTGTCTTTTAAATGACAGAGGAAATCCCTAACATGCTGTTTTCCTTTTCCTTAGCTCTTGTGTCCATCTGGAATAAGGAACACGTAACTTATCCTGGCCTGTCAGGTCGTTCAGAAAAACACTCTTTTGGTGGCTGTTCAGGAAACCTCCTTTTGTTACTTGGTCCAGCTTCCCTGTACCCTGGCCATGAAGGTTAGCAGCATCTTCTTCCTCACATTGCACTAGTAATGGGTTTTGTTAGACTTAGCCCAAAGAGGGTATTTGTTAGACCTGCTTATGATCAATAGGGTGGTAGTCCTGCGCAAGGCTTGGAACAGCATCACTGATGACTGCAGCAACTGCAGTGACTGTGTATTAGCATATGACATAAAAATAAATGTTGTAACATCAGTGATTTATTTAAAGTCTATTAGCTGTGTAAGTGATGGAGCATAGCTAAAAATATACCTCAAGATACGACTGAAAGAGGTTGGAGATGAATTGGAATCAAAAGGCATGGATGAAATCTTATAGCCTGTGGTATGCAGTATGGCTAGCAATCACAACCTGACCTTGAAATACGCATTCTTATGGGATGGCGAAACCATCAATTCCTGCATCTGAAAGCAGAAGTATGGTCAACACTATTTCCAATGGGAAACATTCATGTCAGCCTGATGCCATAACGTTGGTTCAAAAGCTACCTGCCAGGGTCACCAGGCCATTATTGTTCCTCATCTTATATTTGGCTTTTTCTTTTTTATTTTTTTCATCCTGTGTTTAAGATATAGTGCTCAGGAGCTGCCCTACTTCATACCTGCTAAACTGTTGTAGGGCTCTGTTTTGCATTTTATTATGCAGTTGTTGTGTGTCTTTCAAAGACAGCTACATTGCAGTGATGAGCTAAGTCATCTCGTATTTTGAATTTATAATAAGCAAATAGTTTCTTTAGGGCCTCTCTTGCTTTCTCTGTGCTTATATTGGCATCTCTTTCTATAGGACACCCCATCCATCCCCCCTCAGCCCCATCTTACATCCCTGATGCTCCCCACCCTCAGTCCCTTGCTACCAGGCTGTATCCTCAGCTCATTCCTGTCTATGGGAAGTGCCTGTGTTTAGCCATTTAGCTGGCTATGTTAGCACTGTGTTTTGGGGTGGGTTTGTAGCCATGCATGTGACAACTGCTTGGCTGTCCTGCTGGGAGCCCAGCTGGCCGCTGCCTTGTGGGAGCTGAGCAGGCCAAGCAAAATGGCTAGGGATCAAACCCTCCTTGCCTTTTACCTGAGCAGGGGGTCCTCCTCACTAGCTGAATGCTGATTTTAAAACCTGGAAGGAGCTTTATATCCTTGAGATGTCTGTCCTTATGTCAAATGTATTTATAGATTCAGAAGTTTTTAGAGATGGTTGAACCAGCTAAGAGAATGAGGCTCAAACATTTCCTTTGAAACACGACTTTCTGAGTTTAAAGATGAAAACCAGATGTTATCATAGTTCCCTGTTATCTTATTTTGGGTCACTTGGAGCTGCAGTGTGGGGAGGGGAGGGAAAGATGTCTCATGCAGCTGTGACGTGCAAGCTCCTGAGCATGAATTGCTGTTCCTAGAGTAGTGTCCTATACACTTTCTTTCCTTCACTGGACCTGAATGTAAGGAAGCTCCTCCAACACTCACCCCAGAAACTGTCAACTGCACCAGAACAAACCTGTTTCATCACTGAATGGTTTGTATCCTGTCCCAACAGGAGCAGGACAGTGATCTCCAACATACAGCTGAGATCCATTGGTCCAAACAAACTGGTATCCTGACGGCCCACCTAAAAAAAGCTTGGTGTCATGCGGTCAGAGCTGCCTGCTTGCTGCTGAACAGGAATCCTTTGCATCACTGGTCTCATGCAACTTTTGGCAGCACACAGGCTGTGTCCCAGCGAGCTGCTGCACTCTACGGCTGCTTGGTAGGCATCCAGGTGTTGGCAGCTGGATGGCCAGCTGTGCAGACTTCCAGGACTGGCCATGGTCTAGTTCATCCCAGAGGCTGGTTTCCATTCCCTCTGACAGAGAAGTCTGAGATTCCCTGCCTTCATTTCTAATTAGATTCTGCAGCACTTAGATCCTCAGTGGAAATGAGCAACCTCAGTTTCTTTCCCAAATTGATCCTCTGCGCTGCCATACAAAGTGCTGGTGTTCCGTGTCTCTGCTGATAACCATGAGTAGTGTTACTTTGGAAATAACTTTTCAACCTCAGTTGAAAAGGATTAATCTTCCAAATATTTGGTGCTCTTTTACTGCCTAAATGCTGAACGGTTTCTTTTCCACAGAATGGCAGCAGCTGTATTTTTTGTTTTCAAATGCCTCCTTTCCTCCGTAAATAATTTTTTACTGATTTACATTCAGTGGATATTTGCTAACTACTCAAACTCAAACACAGAAGACAGTTAATACAACCAACAGAAGCAATGATAAGGAGGTCATGCATCTGTTATTCCAGGTTACTGGGTAAAACTGGAAAAAATCTTGTGTAACCTCCTTTCGTAGGAAAGGAAGATGGTTGCAGGATGTCGCAGGCTGTGGGACCCACTGAGGGACCCACCAGTGCTGTGGGTGGTATGGTTGACTACCTGACACAAGACAGGCCCGTGGCGTCTCCCTTCAGCCCATGTGAGGAAGAGCTGTTTGCATGATGCCGAGGGAGCTTTGTGCTCTGCAACAGCGTTCCTGATCTGGATGGTTGATAGCCAAGACCCTTGGGCTGTGCTGTGAAGGGCACAGGCTTAGCCAACACAGCTTACTGTGCAATAAGCCCTCCTGCAGACCCGTCTGCTTGATACTGGTCTATGCCCTTCAGAAAGGCAAACTCTCCCATGTGTTTGCAACCTCAGTGCCCAACTTCTCTGTACCGGAGCTTTATAGCCTGAAGTATTTCTCAGGAACAGTGTCCTTCTGTCAGAAATGACAGCTCATGTCTGCCCACTTACTTCTGAGGCAGTTGGTGACCACTGTTTTTTTAAAACACATTGTATTAAAGCAGGAAGAATTGTTCTCTGTGCAGCAAGTCCTTTTTCTACTACAGCAGAGCAAAGACGTCCTTTGGTAGACCCATCTGCAAGCTAGCACTAGCCCAAGCCAAGCTACTACATAGGAGAAGGAACTCAACTCTCAAAATACGGTGCTTTATTTTTCCCATTTTGATCTTTCCCACTATATGCAAAATAAAATAATTCTTAGCTTGCAGGGGAATTAGTCTGCGTTTTTAGCTCTCCTGCAACTAGGTCCCTTCCAATCTAAACCATTCTGTGATTCCATGAATATGGAAAGAAAGCTGGACTGCAAAGTGCCTGCGCCACTTCTGAAATACGGCCTCAAGAACTTAGAAAGGTACCACTTGTTCCTACTTGAAAATTAGGATTATTTTTATATAAATATGCAGAAGTTTCTGAGGTTTCTCCTACCAGGAGCCACTGAGACTTACATAGGTGATGTGGGGACACGAGTGTAGTTGTTTGTGTTCGTGGGGAGGCAAACTGATTTTCCAGTCAAGTGAGCTAGGCATACAATTATTTGTACACATTTGAAAATGTGAATATCTGGGAATATTCATATTTTGTTTGCAGCTGGTTGAATGCTGAGAATATTGTCTGATTTATAAATTGGGTACTGCCTCTGACTCTGCTGCTGCTACAGTTACATTATGCCCGTGCTCAGTGAGAAATGGTTGTTTTTTTTTCGATGACTTTCAGTGACCCTGTGAATTATTACACCATAAACCTAGGGTAAATGAAAGCATACAGAATTGCAAATCTGCACTGATTTAGTAGGAAGAGCTGCCAGTCTTTACGAGAGCAAGTGCAGCATTGATATTCATGATATTTATAGGAAGGAAATTTAAGTCTAACAAGTCAGAGCAGTTCAGCAAGTGAAAGAAATTCACTGTCTGAGAGCAGAACAGAGGATCAGCTGCTGCAAGCAACCACACCGGCCACTTCATTTTCTCCTGGGTGTTCTCCAGGTTTACTCTGTACCAACTTAAAGGTATTTGTCATAGACGCCCACACCGCCGGGTAGGGGTCAGTCTGGTACACATGTGAATCCCAGCACTACCTGCTTTACATTGCCCTGTGCCTCACACAACATAGCTAAGGGCTCTCGGTTGCAAGGGGACATTCCCAGATGTCCCTGTTCTTGGTGTGAATTGGAAGTCTAGAGTGTTCGTGTCCTGTGCAGATAACCTGTTATTTAAAGGAAGAAATCCAACTACCTT